GACAAACCCACTCCCACCCTGTCCGCCAGTCTACCCCAGTCAGCAGCCCAAGATATCCCCAGCCTGATGATCTCTTCAGCCACCATACGGGGGAATCTGGAGTGGTCCATTCGGAGCACCTTAACCAAATAACGACCGTTCAAAGTCAACGTGAATAGAAAGACTGGGTGAAGGCCGGTTTCAATGTGCAGTATGTAAACTGGAGTGTAGTTTGGGAGACTGAACAGTTTTCGTATGAAGAACCATAGCACCCTCTCCACCTCCACGAATTCCTCTGATCCCCATACTTGTGCAGCATAGCACAGAATTGAGCGTGAGACCGCGTTAAAGATATGCAGCTTAGCCTTTAGCGGGATCTGGGGCTGCATCATTGCTCCTCTCTGAATAAGAAACAGAATTCACCTTAATATTGATCCTTGTAGTATTCCAGAAAAAACATATGATGGAACACTAACACAAAAGAACATAAACAAAAAGAAAGATTGATTACGAATGAAAGTGACCGTGGAGGGAGAGAGTAGAAAGATCGAGCGCAAAAAATTCAAGTTTTTAAGAACAATCAACTATGGATAAATTACTGTACTGTAATCTCATTCTTAATTAGGTAACAAAGAAAGTAATTATTTCTCCCATAATTTAATCCCATAAGATAAAAAGTCAGTGTCACGGGCGGGACTGAAAAATGGCAAAAAGAGGGAAAATTCGAACGGTCATAGGAGAACTTGAGATGGAGAATTGGCATCCGCAAGGATCGGGGGGATAGCTCAAGTGATTGAGAAGCGGCGTATTTAGTCGAAGTTCGTGGGTTCGAATCCCGATCGTGACACTGACTTTTTTATCCCAACCAATATCTTACTAATTTTGTGTCATCCAAAATAGATGTCAATGGAATACCACTCTTTTAAGTGAAATTAGACTGAGAAAGAAAAATTAATTGAAAGAAGTAACTTGGTCAATTGACCACTAAAACGTATATGAATAAACTAAAGTGCCATTGGGTTTGAAAAACAGAGTCCATGCGACAATTTGAACGGGAAAAGAAAGGGCTTACGGAAAACTTTTCATGCCATTTTCTAACGCAAACGCACGACACCAAAAAGAAAGTTTAAGGTCTGTTCGCGAACTTCTGTAAATCCAATAAAAAAGCTTTTTTAAATGTATATTATCTACTGTACAATCACAGCACAATTGAATGTTCTAATGGCTGATAATAAATATTTTTTCTGTTTGAATCCGTAACACTTTTTATTTTAAAAAAGTTTATATACTAGTAAAAAGAAAATGAAATCATTACAGTGACTAATGAAAGCGTACCCATTTGATATTTTGTATTGAGGGAAAACAAAATATAATCGGTATTTCCTCCCACTACTGTAAAGTTTCACTATTTGGAACAATCTTGTATATTGAAATTCCATAGGAAAGTCCAGAATATCGATTAATTTTATCCCAATTACAATAACCACTTATATCGCAACAATATATCACGCATTTCCAATTTAGAAGCTTTTTGGTCCGAACACTCTCCACCGGACAGGTTGTTACGCCTGTATTGAACGAGGGATCAACTACACACAAATAAATCTTTCGGACAAGTAAGAGTGCAGGATGTACAAAGTGGCAGGGTGATAAAGGATTTGCTTGTAAGGAAAAAATTCCGCTCTTGCAAAATATATAAACATCCTAGTTAAAGATTTATATGATCATCCTTGATATAAAATTATGTTGTGCTGCATTAGTTGTGCATCATTTATGTTATTATGCTAACACTAAACGTAAATTACGTAAAATGTCATTCAGTGCAATGGAGTCTTGTCATACTATTCAATTTCAATTAAAAAATTGTGGTTTTCAGTATATCAAACTTAGAAAAAATAAAAAAATAAATAAAATTTAAAAAAATCGTGCAAGATGGTTAAAACGAAGAGTTATACGTATGATACACTAGTACATATTACAATTTCTCATTTGCTCACTCACTCTCTCTAACGCTTTCTCGCTCCCTCTTACTCTCACGCTATCTATCTCTTTCTCTCTCATAAATTGTTGGTCTCTTTTGCATTGTATTTAGTATGCCCGTCATGCAGGAGGCTAATATCCAACTACCGGTTGGGTGTCACGGACGAGGAATCAAATCATTTTACAAAATATTTTTCACAATATTATCTATTAAAAAGCTAGGGGCTCTGACGAGATTCTAACCCAGAAAACTAGTCGGATTTAGTATGTCTGTTTTGTTAACGTTTTATTGTATGTCTTTAAGCCTGTCTGTTTTTTAACATTTTATGATATTTTTTAAGTCTGACTGAGTCTTATTATATTTTTTAAGGCTACAAGGGGAGGGGATTTGCCTGATCACTAACATATTAAGTTCAAAAAATATATACTAATTATGAAAACGGAAATAATGTAATTTCAGAAATTGTATTTTTATGATAAAATATTTATAAATTTTTTTATAATAATTACAGCTGATTGATCTTGAAAGTCCCTCTCACTTTCATACTCACCCTCTCTCTTTCTCTCTCTCACACCTTCTGTTTTATCTCTCTCAATTTATCTCTCTCACACAAAATTCCCCTTCTCCCTCCTTCTCTGTCTCTTTCTTCTTTCACTCTCTCTCTCTCTCTCTCTCTCTCTCTCTCTCTCTCTCTCTCTCTCTCTCTCTTTCTCTCTCTAAGTGGAAGAAAGGTCCACGGGACCTAACTTTGCGTGGTTAAATAAAAGGTTTAATTAATCAATCAATCTCTGTACCACTGTATATATGGCTCTATTTCTTTCCACCTCTCTCTCACTTTCTTTTTCGTCTCTCTCAATTTATCTCTCTATCTTTTCCATTTCTCTCTCTTTCTCACTCACTCAGTCTCTCTCCCCCTCCCTCCCACACTTCTTCCCTCTCTTTTCTTTTTCTAGTTATCTTTTTCTATCTATACATTACATACAACTCTCTTCATCAACCGGTCTATCTTTTTCATTCTTTCTTTCATTTTATTCACTCGTTCTTTGTCTATTTATGTAAACTTTTCCTTACTCTCTTATTTTTCACCTCTCTTTTTTTTCTCTCTCGCTCTATCATGTTTTATTTCTGTATTTCTCCGTTTTCCACTCGCTAGCGCACATTCTTGCACTATTTTTGTCTCTTCTGTCCTTTCTCCCCTATTTATCTTTTATTACGTCTTTCACACTATTTATTATTTTTATTTCTTTTTGATTTGTACCTGTCTTTCTTGTCTTGTTTTTTCCTAATTTATCTTACTTTCTTTGTATATCACGTTTTGCTTTACAAATATCTTCAATTATAGCAAAAGTTAGTTAAAATTGTAATGTCTTTTACATTATTAACTTAGACTGCATTGGCAACATTATAGCAAATCCATTATATTTAGTGGTCTATTGACCAAATTACTACTTTCAATTAATTAATCTTTTATGTAAGGTTTTGGTTGAGATAAAAAAGTCAGTGTCACGAGCGGGATTCGAACCCTAGAGCTTCGGCTCAATACGCCGTTGCTCTAACCACTTGAGCTATTGTGACTTCGATCCACTCGGACACCAACTTCCCATTTCAACCTACAACCTTCGAATTTTCCCTCCTTTTTGCCCTTTTTCAAATGTCGTGTAATGAGGATTCGATTCTCGGCGACATATGAAGTGGCCACGGAGGGCTGTCATAGCAAATAATTTTTCAACATTTCTAATAAGTTCACTTGTTTTCGTGGTCCGCTTGACCAATTCATATCTTTCAAATAATTAAGGTTTTTAGTTGAGATTAATTTTTATAATAAGAAAAAATTTCAATTAAAATTTTTTAAGCAACAAGCTATTAATATAGATTAAATTACTCTGTTAACGTACATTAATACACTTAATTTTAAGAATAAGTTATCAAACCCCAAATCGACTCATTGTTAGAATCTATTGGTGAAACATTATTATTAAAAATTACAGATCAATCGTTGAATCCGACGTGTAATCCAATAACTCCCAAACACCATTTCCACGCAAACAGAAGACAAAGGAAGTCGAAAGGGGGGAACCATTGATTAAGCCGGAACGGGGTTGTAATCCCCCTCAAAGCCATCATAAGATAAGGAAGTTGTCTGCAAAGCGTCAAAACAGATATTGTGGGTGGCCGATGGGCCTTGTCGAGAAGGGTAGAATGGTCTTGTTAAAGGTGTGATCACGTATTTAATTCCTACGGTTTATGCCGTCACGTAGCCGGAGCTGCGGGGGCGAGAGTCCCCTGCCACTACACGTGCCCTCGAAAACAGCGGCTGGCCAATTTTCACCAATCTCTCCTCGTGTGTTTCCCTTCAGGGAGAAAAATAATTGGGACCATCCGACGCGGAATCCGGCTGATTGAAGGATACCGCGGTAGACTTAATTTTCGAGAAAAATTCATCTAAACCGGTTGTTTCAACTTTTCGCCATATTGGTAGTGGTGTCATAATCAAAAACAATTTTGTCCAAATTAAAATCTAAAAATTTCGTTATTCTTCGGCCTAACGTTTTTTGATATATCTGTTCTCCTTACTTAGAGAATATAAATATCACCTCCTTCTACAACAAATTGCATTTGCCGAAACTTTTTATCTGTCAAGATGGGCATCTTAAATGGGACACCGAGTATATTAAACCCGCAAGACATGAGAGTGTTGCAGAAGTGTTTATCTTAAGGCAGGCTTATTGTCACAAAAATTAATCAATTAACTACCTGTTAAATTATTGCTGTATATTAAAAGTAATAAAAAAATGTTAAAGCGAAACTTAACTATTAAATCAAGCCATGTGGACATAAGGACTTACTGAGTAAATATTGTTTTGGGTGATTTCTTTCATCTGACAGTTCATCTAAACGTTGAGACAAGTATAATAAGAGGAAACTAATCAAAAGTAGTTAATTTTGATAACAGTATTATATAAAATGTTGTATTTTGAAACTAACCGTTAGAATATTTTAAGACTTATCAAACTAACTTACTATGTTGTTTGTTTTGCAGAATCCTTTTTCGGACGATGGGCAGAAGTGAGTGTAAACGGTCTGTCACAGCGAGCATAGGTTAAACACGAATTATTACCAGTCGATAAGTAAAAAGATCAGGATGGAGTTGGGTATCGACTACGGAGACGACCTGGTAATCCAAGCTAGTATTTTCGGTTCCACCGATCTCGAACCGAAGCCGGCTCCATGGGAACCCGTGTTCAACCGTTCTGTGAACTTCACGGATGATTATGAATTTCCATTTTCCGAAGAAGACCTGGAGACGGAGCTTTTTCACGGTTACCCCAATTCGCTCCTTACCCTGGCGACGGCTTTCTGCTTACTTTTCATGCTCGTCGGCATCCCCGGCAATCTCATCACTATAATCGCTCTCTTCAGATGTAAAAAGGTAAGAAACAATTCAGCATTAAAGAACATCTCGATTTCAACTAGTTGGCATGCTAGCACATGACAGACATATCGATTATGACGAATTATGAAAAAAAGCAAAAATATTGGAAAAAGTTCTACTAATAAAAAAACAGACAACATTAAAAATATTATGACATTTCAACAACAAAAAAAGTATTTGAACAATTACAGAACGTAAAAGGACAAATTTATTCCTTCTTCATATTTTTGCAAACGAATTATTAAACAATTTCAACTCATAGAACTGTGCTTCAATGAAGATGTTGTCAGTGTCGATATTCAACAGGAGTTAATTTACTCACTGATTACCCATTTACAATATTATTGTCATTTATAAAAAAAAATAATAAAAAAAGGCAAATTCTTCTATTAAGAAAAGTTTTTTGATTTACGAATTTTATAGCTTCTGATAATTCCGACCCGTCTATTCTCTCTGGCTTTGTTATTTTTCCATTGTCAGTGGTCGGTTTATTGAGTTTGTTTAGTAATGGCGACCTCACGATAAAAGTTCAACTGGTAAAAATAATACTCGGAATAACCATCATATTGCAGATTCATCATCTCAACAAAACAATTGATTTCTTATTCATATTTCTGTTTACAAACTTCAAGTTTCCAAACTTTTATGACATTTGAACAAATTACGACAGTAATTGGTTTCCGTTAACAATTGTTAGCTTTAAATTTTTTGATTATCCTGGTTCAACTAGGATCAGGAGGCTCGCTGATCTTTCTTTTCACACGCATTTTCGAAGCTGTACATTGCCCGGGGTTTATCTTTGTACAATTTTAGCCAGTCAATTTTTACATAGTTTTCAGGCATTTGCTTTAACCAACTGGTAAAAAATAAAAAAGATTTTACTAGCAAATGTATTACAAAGACCCAATATCAAGTTAAAAATTGACATGCTGGCAGCAACGGAATACTCACGATTTAACGATTTAAGTGCTTTGTTTGTTTTGTTTTTTAAATTTAAATAACAAAACAAGAAGAGTCTATAAACACAGATTTAAATGAAACTTTTTTTTGTTGTGGTAGTAAGTCCAAATATATGAGACACGTGTCCGAGCGTTTTTGCCAATGGGACCTAGGAACCGAGAAAAAACAAAAGTTAAGAATTTTTAAGTTGAAAAGCGCACATCGGCTAAAAACAAATTGGCCTGGCAGATCCGGTCAAAAATTTCAATATTTTCTTTGCGGTAAAAATCTCAAAAGCTTTAGGTCTGTGGGATATCAAATCGTTTATTTTCAGAAAAAATGTTTTTGCCTTTTTACTGATAGCATTTTTGGTTTTTGTAAAGTACATGTTTAATCTCATTTCACATTATGACCTAAATTAAAAAANTATATATATATATCAATACATGATAAGAAAGTCAACAAATACCATAACTGAAGTTATGTAAATTACTTAAGAATGCTCGCACAAGTGTCTAATGTTTTTCGGCCTACTATCACAACAACAAAAAAACCCATTAAAATGGTGATGTCGCCCAGTAATGGTGAACAATTTCTCAAAATATTTTGAAACATTCAGGAAGGAATCCCAACGATTTAGCCGTCTTTAAACATTTCAAACGAATGCTCTCCCAAGGGTACGCTTAATGTTCAAAGTTAATTTTCGCCTTTCGACATTCCGTCCCTCGTACCCGGCAATGATAACCTCCTCCTATAAAATTAGCATATATTTAAAATTTTTGAACTCGAACCCGTCGCGGGGTGGAAAGTACGTGAGGACGATTTCACCAGGCTGAATTTCAAAGAGCAGTACTCTTTCTGAACAAAAATAAAATGAGGTTTCTCTTCTTTTTGTAAAAACAAAAGCTTTTCTATAATTAAAATTATATATACTTTTCTATTAAATCTGGTTATTGGAGGAATAAACTTAAGGAACATCGATTTTTATCGATAATGCCTGACCATTGCGGTAAAAGTTGTAATTTGTAAAGTAATTCCCTTCTCAATGTGATCATTTATTAGAAAAGTGAAAAACAATTTTTTAAACGTCGACAGTTTGTTATGGAAACTTTTCTTTTATAATTGTAAGAATAATAACTAATTACAACATTAATTTCTTTAAATTAAAACTTTCGATTTCATCAATTCCCAGCTAATGTTAATTTATGTTCGTTCATTTTTGTCTTGTTGGTTTACATACTGTCTTACAATAGTACAAGGGGGAGTAAATAAATTCATACAAAAAATGGAGAATGAAAGACATTAATTACAGAATTTTCCATTCAGAGGCGGACAAAGGCTGGATGAATTATTTCTCGAGTCTTGATTTTTCTAGTTTCTTTGTTTAAGCTTGGGTTTAATAAAAGAATAATAATATAAATATAAAGAAAAGAGATTGTCTTTTTCAAAGAAAGAAAGTTTTATTACGTCCAGCGGAAAAAAGCCCGTCAGGTCCAAGAGGGTAAAGAAAATTTTAAGGCATGATTGTTTAAGGTTTTTTTAGATTACAATAAAATATAATGAAAAGAAAAACTTTGTAAGAATAATCCCATGTATTGCATTTTAATTTTTTGGTTGAGATAAATTTTGTGATATGCCATTGTTCCGAAACGACTCCACGGCTTCAAAAATTCTAAATCAAGTGAAATGTGGTCAAACGTTTTCGACAGGCGTTTGGAACGGCTTATCTCTTTGAACCTTGTCGATTATCCCGTTGTAAATTTGGGGATTACAACCCCAAAGCAGAAACATCCAATTTACATATTTGAGCAAATAGACAGCCAGGCTCAGCTTTCACCATCTGAGCGATGGAACAACAATGGACATTTCACGATTCAATTTAAACGAAATGCAAAACACGTAATAGTTGATGGTTGAGATTCGATTTTAAATCGACAATTATTGTCGTAAGTCGTATTCTCGGCTGGTTATTGTCTACATCAAATACCCTAACGACTTTAGTCTATCCCTTGTTCATTAAAAATAACACGTTCATTGTATAACAGCTACATGTGATTATTTCCATAACTGAGGAATATTCATGAGTAGAATCATTTTACAAGTGAAGACAATAAATTCAATTAAATAAAGCGGATTCGACGGAACAATTCTAAAATAAAACATTGCCCGAGGTTAATGCTTGGGTGAGCACACATTCTGTGCCAAAGAAAAGTAAAAATAAATAGCAACACCTTTCCCTCTCACTCTCTCTCTCTCTCTCCCTATATATATATATAGATATAGGTTAAAATGTAACACCAAAAAATCCTAAACACAGTCCCAAAATTAACGAGTTTCAAAAACTAAAACCTTTAATATTTCAGATTAGTCATCTAGCAAATTTACTTACAATTAAAATTAATAAAAGATTAAAACTATGAGAAATTATAAGTTTATTTGGAATGAGAAACGTGATGGTTTGATCGCCTACGATAATCCGGGCGTATTCTCGTTGGTTTTGTCTGACGGATCCATTTCGGCATTTTGCCATTTTTAGTGTTAGAACTTTTGTGTTATTTTTTTGAATCGTGCCCCTTTCATTCGGCTGTAAAATGAGAAGAATGAATACGAATTTATTTAAATTGCAATACGTTTGTGAAAAGTAAAACTGTGAATGGGATTTGACCGTTTTCACAAGCGCTAGTTTTCACTCATTAATCTTCTAATTTAATTTAGATAAACATTTTATGTATTTATACATTAGCCAAACGGATTCAGTTAAAAATTTTTTTAAAAAGTATTAAATTAAAACGACGCCATCCACTCAGCAAACCCAGATTCAATAATGTCCTTCCGAAACCAGGACCATCTCTCCCTTTTGGAAGAATGTGCCAAGAAATTGTGGGTCAGACTGGAAATCAAAATTACTGAAAATAACGACCATGTATTTTAGAATTTTCTACGACCAATGTAGTTAGAATTTTGTGTTTTTACATAGACAAGCGACTTACTCGGAACTCCCACACTCGACTGAAAAAAAACCTAACAGATATATAAACTTCATATAAAACTACTAACTTTCACAAAATAAAAATTCTCATCTACACATCATTAGATGAACTCACCAGGACGAACGCTATTTAACTATTTGATTCAATCAAGCGTTTCAACTTCCACAGAATCAAAGCAATCGAGACCAAAATCATTCAGCTCCTTCTTCAAACTTAACATTACTTCAAATTTTGTTTGTCTTTAAAACAGCAAGAAGTTGGAACATACGTCTCCGTAAAATCACCTTTTACCAGCACCTCTCAACCAATTTATTATTATGTTGTTCCTTTCTAACAACCAATGTCTTTCGCTATTTTGGACCTTGCACAGACTACTTGATGACAGAATGAAACTCTCATTATAAAACAACGCTTCTTTACACATCACTACTACAACCAACATGAACGTACGGACTGTAAATGAATCAAGTCACTCTAATCCAAATTCTTTCGAACCACCAAGCTCACTTTTTTTTTAAATTTTTTTTTTATCAAACTTGACTATCCACACAGTCCTCTAAATTTCATGTGTCCTAGGAAACTCATGCAATCTATACGGACATCTTCATAAAACCCCCTTCATCAGCATCTATCATCCAATTTTTTTAAACTCCTCAGGCAACCAATGAATTCCACTATTTGGGACTTTACGTAGACTACTGGACAACAAATCGGAACTGTAACTACAAAATACAAGTGTAATTTACGCATCATTGCTACAACCGATCAAGATGACGAATCCATAGACGAAAAGCCAACTTTAAAAAACTGGAAACCGAACAACAAATTTTGATCAGCTAGCATTTCAATGGATCTCTACATTATATATTTGATTTATTTGTATGTTCCATTGTTTATGTGTTTATATATAGTAGATTCATCTTAATATCATTAAATGTTTTTATAGAGTCCTAGTTTTTCCTCTTTTTATTTCTTTTTATCAAATGTATGCATTTGTCAATACGGCCAGATACTGTATTAACCATCAATCGTTTTTATCATCTGTCAATTTTGTATTAGTTTAGTAATTTATTTTTGTATATTTTTACACAATAATAAACTTGGATTTACATTGGTAAACGAACGCAGCTTAGAACTTATATTTAAATATTTATACAGCAGTGAACCAAAATAAAACTGTATGACAGTAGTATAAACTGAGATAAACTGAGATTTCTGCGCGATATGAATGGAATATAAATTGGTAGATTAGGTTTATTCACAAAGGAAATTACATGTGTTTTTCTTTTTACGACATACGTTTTAATTTTTAATTTTTCTTTTAAATTTTCCTGTTATTCTGTCTCGTTTCTTTGTCTAACGTTTTTCTACTCTAAAGAAATAGGTTAAAGAATTTTTTAAATAATTTTAGAGTTATATTTTATAAGTTCTAGTTAATGGTTTTTACAAATGTTTCGTTTTTAGTGAGCATTTTATTTAACGCTACACTTTTTTTTGCCTTGAGAGTCAAAACTGTACTAGAAGCCATATTTTTCATATGACAAAACAGAACATGTGTTATTTAATTGCGTTAGATTTTAGGAACCAGAAATTTTTAAAACAGTTGAAAAAACCAAATTTCTTATCACCCAGCCGCTCTTTATTCTTCTTACTATCTTTTTCAGCTTTTTGCTTCGCCTGAAACTCCGTCCGAGGCGCTGAATATGACCTCTTAAAGCTAGCACTGAAAATTTTCACAAGGCTCGCACCCTTCGAGGCAGTTGCACGGCTTTCGGCACGACTTTCTTGTAGCGTGTTGTGCCTGAAATAGGTGTAATTGCAGAGTTTGACCAGAGTGGTATAGTCCCAAAGAATACGGTTGATGAATTTTCCCATCAAGTAAAACATGTAGAAAATAAGTAAGCCCATGCAGTACATGAATATCCTTCTAGGTAGGGACATAGAGCCGATGTAAGGATATACGAATACGCCATGGTACGCGTTTATCTCCTCCATACACACTACGTAAACGATGACGAATGTGAAGACCAAGATCGTGCCGTGTAGCATTTTCGGATTCTGGGCATTGCAGAAGAGGAAATCGAGGATTTCATAAATAATGAGGTTCGTGTTGGTCATGTGAAAGATGTAGGTTGGTATCGTTGAGTATATAATGTCCGTGATTATCCAGATGTTTGCGTTGCTGAACATGGCAGAAGGGAAGGCCAAACAGGCTCTCATAAAACTTCTTCTTACGTACAACGATGTCGACTCGTCCGTTAAAGTCAGAATCAAAATCAGTCCGTCCGTAACAAGAGCGAACAGACAGTAAACCGCATGGATGCTACAGCTCCAAACCGACAAATGTTGGAATGCCGCCTTAAATAGTTCCCTGTCGGAAGAAGCTGTGATGCATTTGAAAAACAGAGCGAGAGCTGCAACGAAGTGGGCGCACCCTATTATATGCAGGACGATAGAGCAACTGAGAAAAAATTTTGGGTGTTTAATTTCCAGGTGACATTCCATTATTCCGCCTTTTAAATTTTCTCAAGTCCAATTATTTTAAATAAAATGATTTTCAAATCAGCGTCTTGGTTTTCTCTAGGAATTGTCCGAAATCTCAATTGGTTATATATCGTCCTGGCCGACCTGAAGCGCGATTTATAAAAACATCAATCAACAACGGAATTATCAACTAAACAGTTTATAAGAAAAATTACTCGTCTTTGATATTATCGGCAATTTTTTAAGTCAGCCAGATGTTTCACTTGTCAAATCATATGTTTGCTCCTTGGTTTGAATTTAACAGACCAAATGATAAATTACTCTTTTAAAAATCAATCTAACTAAAAATATCCCTTTGATAATTTCGTAGTTTTGTTTCTCTACATGTGCTTACACACTCATTACTTCATGTTTCAATCTTTATGTGTTGCGTAATTAAAAAAATTATCTTTCATCATGAAAATCATATTGCATACAATTCGTTCGAAAAGCAACTAAACTGCGTTCTCATTTTGGTGCTAATAAACGATTGTAAAATTCCATTAATATATCATAACATTAATAATTATACACTCTCACACCAAATTTATCGCATTCCCATTACTACTTCCACACCTTTCTTACACCCTGAGGTATTTTTGTACCACTCTCTCCCTTCCTTATTCTTTCTCACTAATTCTTCTCTCACTCCTGCTTTCGCTCTCTTTTTCTTACCATCTGTTATTTGTCACAGTTATTTTCGCTTATTATGACAGTCAGTTCATTGCTCTCTTTCACTGTCTTAGAGTACTGATTAAAGGCACTTGCAGCATATTGTACATTACATTCGACGACTTCGGACCTCCCTTTCACTGTCTATTTATCTCTCATATTATATTCATCATCAAAGTTCACTGAACATAAAAATATTTATTATTAGGTTTCATGGTCCGATTGGCAAAATAAATTCTTTTCAATTAATTAATCTTTAATTACGGTTTTGTTTGAGATAAAAAAGTTAGTGTCACGAGCGGGATTCGAACCCACGACCTTCGGCTTAATACGCCGTTGCTCTACCACTTGAGATAACGTGAGTATAGCCAGAGACACGTTCGAATCCCGCTTGTGACGCTGACTTTTTTCTCTCAACCAAAACCTTAATTAAAAATTGAAAATATTTATGTTTAAGAGTGACGATGAATACCTCCACTTATCTCTTTCTCAATTCTCAGGTCCTGATGATAGCTTTAAGGTTGTTAGAAAAGTGTACTCTTTTGGCCTAATTAAGTGTATTTAAATTATTAAAGCGTATGTAGTCGAAAAAATGAAAAGTTTCTATAAATTGTGCTATATATAATATACTAACTGAGTCCGTTTTATCACAATATCTACAGTTTTTTTTGGGGGGAGGGATCTTAACAAATTTTACTAGTGTTTTACTTGATAACTACCTACTAAACCTCATAATTTATTTTACTGATAATACGTAATTATACAAAAATTGTCAAGCAAAGTTTTTTCCGCCTTTGGGAGACGTTCGGATTTTCATACTAAACGAAATTAAAAGCAATCGAATTAACATGCTTGCACAAAGGAAGTACAAAATTATTAAACAATTCGGTATGCATGTATTTTTCTATTTATTTAGATTTTTGAATAAATGATATTATATAGATAGAGAATCACAGAGAGAAAGAAAGATAGAAAGGATGAGAGGAGAAGAGAGTGAGATAAAGAGAGATAGATAGATAGATAGATAGATAGATAGATAGATAGATAGAGAGAGAGAGAGAGAGAGAGAGAGAGAGAGAGAGTGAGAGATATAGGAAAGAGTAAGAATTATAGTGATAATGATATAAGATAATAAGTGTGAGAGGTTGAGGGTTAGAGAGTGAAAATGAAATAGTGAGTAAGAAAGAAATAGAAGAAATAAAATCCTTGTCTAGGTGTATGTGTGTATTTGATAGTGTGTGTTGACAGTCATTCTAGTTTTCTATTTTGCCATTGTTGTGACACTTTTGATACCTTAATAGTTGCCTGTTCCAGTTTTTTATCTCTCGTTCGACTTTTTCTCCTGCTGAATCCTCTTCTTCGTTTCAGTAAGTAGTAAGATAAATAGAGGAAAAAATAGTTAAGAAGAGAGAAAAAGGAGAAAGATGGATGGAAAGAGTGAGAGAAAAATATAAACAATGAGATAACTAAAATGAAAGGTAAACTATTTATTAAATCATAACAACATAAAATGATCACAGATGTTGGAAATAAATACACAATGAAAGAAAGAGTTAGAAGATGAGCGGATAGTAAAAAGCTAGTAGTATGAAGCAGAAGAAAGAGAAGTATAAAGTGAACGTTAAAAATAGGTAAAAACAGTGAGTGATATAACAACAAACTCCGACAGTTAAGTAAAAAGATAAAAACGGAGAGTGAGAAGAAAAATAGAAAAAGAACCAGAGAAATAAGAAAATGGAAAAAAGAAATATATTTTAGCATAAATAAATAAAACAAGAATGGATACGGGAAAAACAAACAAAAAGAATGAAAAAAAGCCGTGAGCGGAAGGCCAAAAGGTAGAAAGTGAAAGACAAAAGATGTATGGGAGAGCGTGAGAAGCTGCAGAAAAACACGGTAAAAGAGAAATAAATAAAGTGCATGAGAGAATAGCAAACATTAACAGTAAAATAAAAATATATAAAATCGAAGAGACTGTAAAACTAAATAGATAATCAACGAAATAAAGCAAATGTGGGTATGGTCAGAATAAAAGAAGTAAATGAAAACTAATAGTTAATTATTGGTTGGAAGTTTTCTTGTTTCCACATTTAAATTATAAACGAAATAAAATTTGACATTAGCGTGTGGTGATTAGTGACCGTTAATCGATTTCTGAATAATTTGACATTAGAAACAACAGTAAAATAGATTTAAATTATTAAAATAATTACCTTCGTTTACTAGGAATTTGAATTTTTTCACGCTCAAGTGCAAAATCTTGGACGTTACAATTCAATAGAAATTCATGGCGTTCGGGCAAGGAAAAGGGTGGCTGGTTTGTGGAATTGAGTCGGTTACACCATTTGTATTGAATAAAATGGGCAGACGGGACAGACGGGGGTGGTTTTGTAAATCAACTTAAAGCCGTGGGAAGGGGAGAAGAACAACCCGGGGGCAATCAGTGGCGAGACGTGGCCGGCATCGACCCCCTGACCAATAGAGCGGACACCATTCCGTCTCTCGGCTGAACGGCGCAGGAATTCTATGCAATTACGACGATTATACACACAAATATCAACATTGGCCGGGCAAACATGAAACAGAATCCAAGACGATTGAAAGTTATTACTATTTTGTATATTAGTTCCAGAAACTTTGAATTGTATCACTTATTTGCCAAAAACTAACGTATTTTCTGAAACTCTCAGCATTATACTAATTATATACAACAATACAAATATATATATAAAATGCTGAGAGGTTCAGAAATTTTTTAAAAGTTATTTTTATCTTTGTAACTATCATAATTGGATATATCATAATTTAGTTTATTCTGTTTTGGCTCTCTCTCTCACACTCTTTCTCTCTCTCACCCTCTCTCTCTCTCTCTCCTTCTCTCTCTTTTTCCCTTTTTTTCTTTCCCTCTTTCTCATTTTATCTTTGCCATATCATTATTTAGTATGTTATATTTTGGTCGTCTCTGTGTGTGTCTTCCTATACCCCCTTTCCCTTTCTCAAAATACACCCCTCCCCACACACACGGACCAGAAATTTTCTCTGTGTGTTTGTTTTCATTTCTCTCTCTCTCTCTCTCTCTCTCTCTCTCTCTCTCTCTCTCTCTCTCTCTCTCTCTCTCTCTCTCACTCTCTTTCTTTTTCTCAACTCTATCTCCCTCTGTCTGTCTCTCTCCCCTCTGCCACACACTCATACACACTGCACATTTTCTTCCTCTTAAACTCTACCTACCTCTTTTTTCATTTTTCAATATTTTTCCCCTTGCCTCTCTTTTTCTTCCTTCCTCTTCCTCTTTATTTCTTCACTCTCTCACTTGTTTCTTCTCCCTTTCTTATTTCTTTATCTTTTTGTCTATATCAATGTACAATCTTTACAGCAAACTATTAATTATGAGATCTCAATTCTCTCGCAATAATTAATATAAACCGTTTTGTATTACCAATACAATATTCAACACTAATTTAGGTTTGGAATTTATAATTATCCTGGTTTTACTATTCTCTCGGTTTTCGTTTTTTTTTCTTTAATTTTATTTATTTCAACTTTTTTTACAGCGTATAATTTTGTTTTGCTTTTTTTATATAACGCTTATAGGCAGAAGTCTGAGGAGGACTAGGATAGGAATGAGGGCCACGGGTAGACCTCATAAGATTTTGATCTAGCAAAATTTTGGTTAATACATTAATTAAATTATAAAAATTAATCTCATTATAATTAACATTTTAAATTTTTTAAATAAATCAGTACGGACAATACATCTCAAGCAAGTCAAACAATAAAAGTTCATCCAGTGAAAACCGCTAATTAGCGAAACTGACAGGCTAAAACAGCGAGAACATGGGTGTCAGAATAATCGAAAACTGCCAGACTGTGCTGAACTTAACAAGGTATCTCAAAAGATATACAATATTGTTCATGAATTGCCTGAACTTCCTACTTTCAGTTGTTTGAATTGTCATATCTTAATGTAAAAAATTATTTCTGCGGTAGTTCGTATTATCGTTTTAAGATTTAATTAACGACAATACTTTAAGGATCACAGACACGCACACAAATTCTTTCATTACTATCGCGTTCAACATGTCTGGAGTGTATTCACGCCAGCGAATTTGTCAAGTTATCAACAAAGATAAAACTTAGGCTGGAGCATGTTTAACATAATTTTTTCAGCTGCCGATTAGACGATTTCTGAGCCAAAAATAAAAGGCTTTTATTAAAAATTTGGGAAAATTCTAATTTACGTTGTTTGTGCATGTTGTTTTATTTGTATTGTAAATTATTTCCTCTCTATGTTTAAAACCGTCAAAATGGAGCTGGTTTCTTTCCATC